TACTAATTTACTATTCCACCAAGAGTGTAAAAATGTGTTTCTTTTTCCCCAAATCTTGTTCAGTATTTGTTATTGTTTGTATTCTTGATGACTGCATTCTAACTGGACTTGTTTTGACTTGGATTTCCCTAATTGATAACTAAGTTGAATATTTTTTTTTCATGTATTTGATAACCATTTGTGTTGCTTCTTTTAAGAAGCATTTGTTTAGTTCATTTGACCATTTGTGAATAAGGTTCTTAAACTACATGTGACATAATTTTTCCCTTAAAGGTAGACTGTGATAAATGTGTAAAAGAAATCAGTAAAATCATGATAAAGTCATACCTATTAAGCCAACAGGAAGTTAATATGGAATAATACAAGAAATAAATAAGATAATACAACAACAGGTAAAGAGAAAAAAGAAAGGAACCCCAAACAGATGGGAAAAATAGAAAATAGCACTATAATAGACCTAAAACAAACCATATCAATAATCATGTTATATATTCTAAAAACCCAAAAGTCAAAGATTAGCAGTTTATATTAAAATGCAAAAACCTTATGATTGATTATTTGCTGCATTCAGGAAATACATTTCATTATGACACACAAAACATTAAAAGAAAAGGATGGGAAAAGATATATAGTGCAAACGTGAATCATAGGAAAGCTTGAGTGATTCTGTGTCAACATTAGAAACATAGATTTTAGAGTAACAATCTCTAGAATAAAGAAGAAAATATTTTGCAAAAGAGGCCATTTCATCAACAGGAAATACCAATTCTAAACATTTATATACCAAACAAAAAAGCTTCAAAATACACAATGCAAATGTTAATAGAAATAAAAAGAGAAATAGGAAAATCCAAAAATACAGGCAAAAAAGTTTCAATACCTCTCTTTCAATAGTTAAAACAAATAGACAGGAAATCAGTAAGTATATAGAACAAAACTATTAACCAACTTGACCCAATTGACCTATAAATATAAACCACTCAGCTTGACAACTGCTGGTACAAATGTACTTTTTAGGTCTACAAACACATCTACCAAAATAGACTAACTTCTAGGCCATGAAACAAGCTTCCCTCCAAAGATTTAAAAGGATTCAAGTTATATAAAATATGTGATCACAATTAAATTAGAAATCAACTACAAAATTATCTCAATGATTCCTGAATATTTGAAAACTAATACACTTAACTTTAAGATCAAAGGAAAAATCAAAAGCAAAATTAGAAAATATTTTAATTGAAAGAAAATAAAAATAAACCATATCAAAACAGTGGGATGCTAATCTAGCACTGCATAGTAGGATATTAATAGCACTAAATGCCTGATTAGAAAAGAAGAATTTCAAAGAAACGTTTTACTTTACACAACTAGAAAAAGAAAAGGTATGATTCAAATCAGTTATTTATGAATTTTATTTCTGAATTTCCAAGTAGAGCCTGTAGGGAGAATTCTTTTTATCCTCTTTGCTTATGTGGGTAAAATTGAGCAAGACCAAAACTTATAAGACCAAGTTTGTGTTTTAAGTCTTAAAGAGCAGGAAAATTTCCATGGGTATGAATGTATAGCTGTTATCTGAGAGAGTAGTTGTACCCTATTATCTGTTTTTCTTTCTCCATTAGTAGTAGAAGTCTCAATATTAGTTGGCCACATGATTATGTACATTAGACTAGATTTCTCAGCCTCCTTGGCAGTAAGGTATAGAAATGTGATTTACATTGTGTTAACTTTTGCTACATAAATTAGTGGATTGCAACAATAAAAGTTTTTAGTTCAGGATTCTATGGTTGGCTTTGCTGTTCTGGCTTGGCTTATTACTTCTAATAACCCTCATTTGTCTATTGTTACCTAGCAGTATGCTGGCAGTTAGATGACCTAGGGGGACCTCATTGACACATCTGTGGCTGGCAAGCTGAGTCTTAAACTGAGGGGAAAGCAACTATGAGCTAGGTTCCTCTCTTCTTTTCATGTATTCTCTAGTCCTCCAACAGACTTGCTGGAGCTTTTGAAGTCACAAGGTGATCTCTGAGTTCAAAGCCCAGCAAGATAGAGAACTTCAAATTCACAAGCATTTTCAAGCCTCAGCTTGCAACAGATTTGCTAATACCCTATTTGCCAAAGTAAATCAATAGGTCAACCTAGGGTTCCTGTGGAACTTTTATAAAAACTTTTAATGGAAGGTTTCCACAGGGAACAGAAGAGTGTTGTGTCTTACTTTTTGGAAGTGCATTTTTACAAGGGAGAGAAGCATCCTTCTTTCTTTCTCCTTGGACAAAGATTAGTCTTAGAATGTAAGTAGATTTGTATTCTCTCACATTGGAAAAAGAGAAATCTACAGCGGTATTGTGCAGAAGTAACTTTTGTGTTTTCAGCTGAATTTTGAGGAAGACTAAAATTCTGTTATACATGATTATAAAGTTCTGTATTACTTTACTTTTAGACCACATTTTAAGATATTGTTAAAATAGGGAAATTATAATTTGTATGTGTAATATAAACTTTTGGATTAATGAAATAGGAGTGGATATATTAAGAATTTTTGGCAGAGTTGCTCATATGGAACAATTTATTTTTATTGTCAGAAATACTTTGATAAAATTTAAGTGCATGGAGGAATTAAGACAATAATGGATACTTGTGGAATATTCCATGTGAAAAAAATGAAGCTTGTCAAGTATAAAGAGAAAAGTAGATATGCTTTAGGGCAGAGCAAGGAAGGATGAGAGAGAAGCCACACTGAACACTGTCTAATTGGAGTGCAGAAGCCTAGGAAAACCTCTAGTTATCAGAAAACCAAAGGGAGATTATGAATTGCAAAGTAAAACTCTCATTCCTTCACTCCAAATCTGTGGTCACGTTTAATAAATCCATTCACTTTTTTGAACAAGAGTTCCTATCCTTGAGATTGAGGCACTGGCCAAGGTGACAGAGGGCAGTGCTCTCAGGAGGGAAGAAGATTCCAAAATGGAAGAAGCAGAAATTTAGGATCAGGGTAACTATGAAATTACCAACACATCTAGAATTTTTATAAATTTTGAGACCGCTTTTGTCCTTCAACAGTGTGTAATTAGGGTTGCAGACTGCCTTTCTAGATTTCAAGGGGCAAGGAAGCACTAGTTGATACAGGTAATGCATTTAAATGAAAATGTTACAAAAAATAGCTTTGATATAGAATACATTTTTCTCTATATGTAAATATACCCTTATTCAGTCTTTCTTGCTCTTCATCTTTGAAAGAATACTTTTTACAAGTGTGAATAGAAATATAAGGTATGTTTAATACCTAAAAGGGCTTGCCTTCTATTTGGGGGAACAAAATTAATACATGAGAAGCTCTAGCAACAGGTCAGGCCAAAATTGTTGGCATTTGAAATGAGAGTATGTATTTGATGTGGGAGTATGTAAAAGAGGTCTGTTGAACTTTCATGACTATATGTGAAATATACCTATCAATAAATGCCATTTCTTTTTGCAGGGAACAAAGATCCCTCCTTTGAGTAATGACTTAGTTTCTTTTTTAAAAAATGTTTTATTTGTCATATATATATACACACACACACACACACACACACACACATATACATACATACATGACAACAGTGTGTATTTTGAAATATTATACATACATGGAGTAAAACTTACTCTAATTAGGGTTCCATTCTTGCATTTGTACATGATGTTTCACTGGTCGTGTATTTATATGAGGGGTGGGAAATGCAGCCAGGCACAAGGAGGTACTTCATGGTGCCTGTTCATCTTCCTGTAGGCGTCTTGGATATTGAGGTTCATTATCTGCACGCATATCTGGTGCATTTATAATCCTTTATCTTTCAGAGTCTTAGATAGCTTCATATCAGTTGTATTATTTTATCCTACTATTAATGGTTCTAGTGAGTCTCTATTTCACAGATGAGAAAAATGAGGCAATTATCTATTTTTAAAATTCTTTGAGAGGCTTGCCCTAGATATTTGTAACCAAATGTAACCTTGTGTGATTCTTTAAAAAAAAATCCTTAAAATTAAATATCAATCAAACTATGTGTTTCCACATGTAGATTACTCCCCTCTGATAATCCTGCCTCTGAATGTGAAGAGCTGAATTCAGTCCAAGTGAAAGGCAATTGGGGAGAAATGCCAGTGACTATAAGAGATTTGATGTCTGTATCCATATCTCTGCATTGAAGCCTTAAGTTATTATTGAATTTCTCATATTTATTTTACATTTCAAATACATATGTCCTCTTATAAAGACTTTTAGCTCTTATCGTCCTCTAATGTAGTGTTTTCTGTGTATGTGGTAGATGAACACTGCATATTTTATGCATTTTCATTCTTCTCAAAATAGCAGCATGAAGAGGAAAAAATACTGTTTCAGCTATTTTATTTAAAAATGCTTTGAACAAGTAACTTTTTGCATTATTTACCATAATATAAACCAGCTAAATATACTTAATGTGAAATAATGCTGTAAGTGAATGGTAAATATACTGGAATATTCCTAAGAGAAGAATTGTATAAAAAAATGTGTCAGTCTCATTAGGCATGAATGAATTCAATTAACAAGAACTTTAAATAAGACCTTGATGGGATATTCTATACAGAAAGACTCTTCCTTAATTTAAACATCTGGCTTATATAAAGCAAGTTTGGACCAATAAGATAGCAAATGGGAAAAGTAACCTAACTCTGGGTTCTCTTCTCTTTACAGACTCTGACATGTCTATATTTTGATTTCTTTATTTAGTACTTAATGCTTAATTCCGCATTTACCTTTTAGTCATATACTACTGACTTCTGTGGGTTTTATTTTCATTCAGTTCTATATTTGCAATCTGCTGAAGCTTCCCATGTTTTGTGTCAGGAGGAAAAATACCTTATTACCTTCTTGTCTATTTAACATTTCAAGTTTTTTTTTCTCCCTCCCTCTCTGTCTTGTACCTAATGAGCAAATTATCTAAAAATAGACACGTTCATCATTCTACAAAATGTTGTATCTTCTCTAGATTGGAGGCCAGTGTAATTGTAAGAGACATGTGTCTGGCAGACAGTGCAATCAGTGCCAGAACGGATTCTACAATCTACAAGAGTTGGATCCTGATGGCTGCAGTCCCTGTAACTGCAATACCTCTGGGACAGTGGATGGAGATATTACCTGTCACCAAAATTCAGGCCAGTGCAAGTGCAAAGCAAATGTTATTGGTATGTGTAATGCAAAAGTTTACAGTCACATCTCTATTACCATCTGGAAATAAATTCTGCATTTGATTTCTTAACCGAAGAGTAAAGCAAATTTCCTTGCTCAAGGCAGGCTGGGGGGGGGGGGGCAATTTGGATGAAATTAACTGTCTAAAAATGATTAAATTAATAATTCTATCAAGCTACAGTTTGAAGCTTAGTTTAATCAACCCTTTAGAAGTTTCTTTATTGTGTAGATGTATTAGTTCACATGGTCCTATACTAATAAGTCATAGAAAAATATAATTTGCTTACTGCATAGATGTTTCTTTTAGAAAATTAGCACTTTTTCAAAATGTTTTACACTTAATGAGTTCTAAGCAAATCATTTCCATGCTAGTTTCCTTAATAGACCAAAATAAATGGATTTTTTCAAAATATTCTCTGCTACAGGGTCCTTTGTGATAAATCTTTCCATTTTTTTTCTATTATATTTCTTTGAACTGTTCCTATGAAATGCAAAATAAGTCAACATAATTCCACAGATCATGTATATTGCTAAGGTTAGTTATAAAGGGCCACATAATTTTAATTTTGTAATTCAGAACCAAGCTGATTATAATAAACAGCTACCTTCGGTGTTATTTATCATTTTTTTTATACAAGACGTGCTTTTTTGTTTGTTACTCCCACAGGTATTTTTCAGAAATTAGATTTGATTATAGCAATTTATTACATCCAGCATTTTTGAGGGGAACCACCGCCACATAAGGACAAAATTTATCAAGTGCCCAAAATGCACTATGTACATAATGCACTTTGAAATTTTGATATATGAGAATATTATGAGAGGAAAGTTTCCTGATGAACTGAGTCCTGTATTGTAACTGAACATGTTTTGGGTCATATAGGAAGTTTAAAAAAGACCTTGGCCTTTCTATTGTCACTCAAGACACCAAGTCATTGTGGTTTTTCTAACACTTGACCTGAACCTCACAATGATAAAAACACACCTGGCAGTGATAGCACCCAGAGATACACATATGCACACCCAGAAATGCATATATATATGCACACACAAGTAAATATCATCTTAAGTAACGTCTTTCCTTCGTTGATATAACATAATCTAATGCTTCACCTTTCACATATGTAGCTATACATATATCGTGCTGCATAATTCAGGTAAAAAGCATTTTGATTTAATAAAAAAAGAATATTAACATGCCTAATGGAATTACACAAACTTTGGTTTAAAGAAAGATTGCATCAAAATGTGTGAAACTTGCCTTTATGTACCTCAAGCATACAAACACTAACTTTTTAGAAAGGAAGAAAAAGCAGTTTGGAGAAGTATATCTTTATGTTATGTGTGAGACAGAATGAATTCTGAGACCTTTGAATTCAATCTGTATGGGGTCCTTTGTTCTTTAATATGAGGTATATTTTAAATTCAAGATGTGAACACAAAAGTTAAAGAAAGGCCTCAAAAGACATGAAGTGCTTACTTCTTTATGTCAGTAGAATCTGTCCTGTGATGTTAGATTCCAGAGGTTGAGGAAGGAAAAAAATAAAAATAATTTTTTTTTATGACCTCCCTCTGTTACCTATGTTATTGGTTGTTCCTCATTGTTTGGGGAGGAAAATATTAATAAACATTTTGTGAAGACTAAATCATCATCTTAATATTCTGATAAGTAATTATTATTATTTTGTCAAATAAAATACTTTTAATAAAAATATGAATTTAACGTGCCTATATATTTTCCAAATGGAATTAGCAAGTAACTGTATTCGACATTACCTTGTTAATGTGAAGAGAAACAAAACCTAGAAAATACAAGGGTATGTTGTATATGCTTCAGAAAGCAAACTGTTAGAGTTAACAAAACTGTTAAATCTTACTAATGATTCTATCACCAGTAAAATACATTAGCACCAATAATTTTATTAAAGTAGGTCATTCATCTAGAATAAAAAGGGAGAAGAATGTGAATTAAATGCCAAGTGTGCTAACTCGCCTGTACTTGTTAACAGTGAATGTGATGCCCTGTAGGCCTTCCTGAGTATCGTTAGGAATAGATTACCTGTCAGGAATATGTATGGCATATTCAAATAAGCACTGCGCATATTTTTAAAACTGATATGATATGAATCCATGTAGACCAATTTTAATAGTTCAAAATGAGTCATAATTCTTGTTAACAATACAGTTATTTTTAAAATTTGCAGCAATAGTGGTCCTTTTTTATTTTCCTTATTGAAATTAAATGATATGCCTTAGGTGAGTCATTCATCACTGTTAAAGAACTTGCCTTCCATTGGAGTTCTTGAATTTTTATCCATATATATACATACATATTAGGCATTTTCTTCCAGTTTACGAATGCTTTTCTACATATGAGTTCCTTAGTGTGCTTTTGACTCTTATTTTAGGACTAATTTTTTATTGCAATTATAGCTTGAAATAAATGTTTCAGTTGCCTTAACTCCACAGTCAGTTATTTAAATTCATGGATATGAGAAGACTATCTAAAGGAAGTATTTGCCATCTGAACATTTACTGTTCTACATATTAAAAATTCTTTTGCCTTGTAATACCCTTTTTGAGACTAACCTGAGTTGTCAGAGATTTAAGCTTTGGGGCCCAAACATTTTTCTCCATTTGTAAAATGTATATATATATATATATATATATATATATACCTTTAAATAGAAGTAATACAAAGAATAGAATTTACTTAGTGTTCAAAGAGGTATGTTCTGAATCACACAATGTGACAAGCAATGTGATTGCTTTATGAGCCACGGAGAGCATAATTTATATTAATTGAAAATGATAAAATGTAGGATCATACAAAAGGATTAAAATAAAAATTGTTCTGGATATGTTTTATTTATATTAATTATTTAAATATGTAATATTCAGAAGTAAGTGTATATGTTCTTGTCACAAAAGAGCTTAATGTTTATTTGTTTATTCTTGCTACCTTTTTTAAAGATTAATTCACAAATAAAAGTTGTATATATTTATAGTGTACAATGTGATATTTTGATATACACACCCATTTTGCAATGATTAACTCAAGCTAACTGACATATCTGTCACTTCACATACTTATGTTTTAGGAAGAAAAAAATTAAGATCTAATCTTTTATTGATTTTTCAAGCATATGTAATTTTTTAACTATAGCCACCATGCTGTGTGATAGATCTCCAGAATATGTTTATCTTGTCTAAGTGAAATTTAATGTTCAGTTTAATAATCCTGCCGTAAACATTTTTAGGGAATTCTAATTTCGCGAAAGCTACCTATTGTGGTAACATGCCACTCAAGTATACTTTTAAGTGAACTTTTTTAAAAAAATAGTTTAATATTTTCAAACAAAAGGGAATGAATTGCCCAAGTACATGTAACAGAAGCAATATTTGCATTAAGCATTTTCTTTGCATTAAATAAAAAAATTATGAAGTATATTACATCCAAAATTGTTTATGAGAGCTAAATTGAGCATTGATAGTTTTTGAATATGTAAACAACCTTCTTTGATGTTTCTTATGAGAAAACATCTAGGATTTTGTGTCTGTATTTAATACCTGTAATAGCATTATTTGTACTTCTGCTATTTAGAATGGAATTGTTTTCCCATCCTCATCTTTTTAAACCTATTTTATATTTAGGGCTTAGATGCAATCACTGCAATTTTGGATTCAAATTTCTTCAAAGTTTTAATGATGATGGATGTGAGCCCTGCCAGTGTAACCTCTACGGCTCAGTGGACAAATTCTGCAATCCTTTCTCTGGGCAGTGTGAGTGCAAAAAAGAAGTCAAAGGTCTTCAGTGTGACACCTGCAGAGAAAACTTCTATGGGTTAGACATTGCTGGTTGTAAGGCCTGTGACTGTGACCCAGCTGGATCCCTTTCTGGGACTTTCTGTGATGCTGAGACAGGGCAGTGCACCTGTAAAACCAACATAGGAGGGAGACGGTGTAATCAGTGTTTGGAGGGACACTTCTACCTACAGCAAAATAATTCTTTCCTCTGTCTGCCTTGTAACTGTGATAAGATGGGGACAGTAAATGGCTCTCTGTTGTGTGACATATCAACAGGACAATGTCCTTGCAAATTAGGGGTAACAGGTCTTCGCTGCAATCAATGTGAACCTCACAGGTACAATTTGACCACGAGCAACTTTCAAGGCTGCCAGATGTGTGAGTGTGACTCCTTGGGGACATTTCCTGGGACTATTTGTGACCCAATCAGTGGCCAGTGCCTATGCTTGCCTAATCGTGAAGGAAGAAGGTGTGATCAGTGTCAACCAGGTAAGAGACAACTGTGTTACATTTTCAGGGCATAGTGACTTTGCTGTTGTTACCTTTTAATAGGTAATTCCTCTGTTCCTGGTTTGGGGCTTGTAAAAATTTTTATCTCCAACATCATTGCTGTGTTTATATCATGATCCAACACATACAACTATTTAAATTGTTCAAGTAAATCTGGTATATTTATGTTGCTATTTGTAGGGCAGAGGTACTTTAGATGAATTGTAGCCCACCAGACTTATTTCATAACTGAGACAATTTCTCAAAACCCTTTTAACAGCTGAAAAAAATTAAAAAGCAAGAATATAGTTCATTTTCCAGAGAAAGGAAAACTTGAGTTAATTATCTAAATAACACCAGATATTCAGATGATTAACTCAATTCCTGAATAAAGCTAGTCATATGTTTTAACTTAAGGGCATATATATTCTGGCATCATAGAGAAACATCTAGAATTATTTTTAAATGCCACAAAGTAAATGAATAGGATACTGTTTAATATCCCTGCACAGAGGTCTATTTTTCCATTGCTTTCCCTCCTGGAAGAAAAAGAGACACTTCCTACGGCTCTTTCTTTGCCTTGACATAATTTTAACTGAAATAATATTTTCTTTATAATAAATTCATCCTGATAACAGGATAAATATAAGTTTTATCAGATATCTAGTAGCTGTGTTAATTGTTGGTCTGTCAACCAAAATTAGCTCTGAGTTATTTGAGTCTATGAAATTGAGTACGAGGCACATTCATTCAAAAGGTTGATTTGCCTGGAAGGGAAGTGGTAAGACAAAAGTCCTCCTCTGCATGGTAAGGAATTCTGCTCAGGTGGATCTAGCTACCATTTTCTTTTGTTATTGGTCATTATGACAAATAAGTTGAAAGAGACAGGAAGGAATTGATGACTAGCTAATACAATCAGAGTTACTTTAGACATATGCGTGGACCATGTTGGAACTGATGACCCACAAAACTCATGTTTCAGTGCAGTGAGAGCTTAGGAACTAGAAGACTCCTGCTGATACAAACTCTTATCCACATTCACTCTCCATTTCTTTCAGTCTCTTACTCTCCCTTTGTAGGAGGGTACTCCGCTTCCCCCTCCCTCTCTTCATAGCTATATGGCCACCCCACAGCCCTGATATTGCTTACAGTTTGACTTCCAGCTACACAGAGAGACTTCTTAGCTGCTTCTTGGTTATAATTCTAAAGAGGGAAATTCTAAGTGACTTGGTTTTGTTTGGGTGGCTACTTCTGAACCAATTTACTGTGGCTGGGAGTGTCAGGTCACATGAAATGAGCACAGGAACCACTCCTTCAGGGAGGAGCAGAGTGGTAATTATCCCAAAATACAGGAAGATTGTTGAAAGCTGGGTAGACAGCCTAATTGAGAGCTATAGCCCATTGTGCTCTTTCAACTTCAGATTTGTGCTTCAGAATTTGCAATCAGTTTTTTTTTTTTTTTTTTTTGGTATCCTAAGATGATATTTTTTTTCTTCTTAAAATATTTTACATTTCATGTTATCTCTGATTTTAGAAATAAGGTTCTCATTCTCCTGCTCAAACAACCATGCTTTTTATGTCCTTTCTAAATAAACCAGCAAAATACAATAGATCAAATATTGTATCCTTTTGAACAATTACCTTTTGTTAAAATTCAATATTTCAAGTCGGACTTTAATTGTATGAATAATACTACATATTTTAAGTAACTTCAAAATTCAGATAAAACTCCAAAATCACCATAACAAAATATGTGTTCCCTTTAGTCCTTTCAATGAAATCCTTAATGCATCATTCAGGTATTGTATACCTATCAAAAAGATAGGTAAAGGACTGAAATTCATAATAATCCTGTTTTTCTGAGTGTTTTTTGTATTATGCAAAAATGGCCACGAGCAATTTAATCTTATCTACATCATGGGTAATCCTGTCTCATTTGGGTCCTTCCTGTGATGAAGAAATACTAACTGTTGTGTTTTCCCTTCTCTTCATGGTCCTTACTGTGGTCAAATCTGTTCTCAGCCCTAAGCCCTTTTCTCCCAAGGTGGTCTGTGTATGTCTACTGTAGTGTTAGCGGAATAGCACCCCTAAAGCCTTCCTTTATTTATATCATTTTACAGGGCTACCTAAATGAGTTTTCTTTTGCTTATCACTTGTATTCAATCTGGCCAACCTTCCAGAGTTTTGAGTCTTCTGGCCTTGTCTAGGCACCCAGCTTTATTTTCTGATGTTGCCTCATTCACTCATCATCTTTAGTTACTGCAGACATTTCATTGGGGCTACATACATCCCATGCAGAGTTGATTTATATCTATCTTAATGCTTTGTTTCTTTAGCTTTTTCTTTTGTTTTCGTCCCTTTGCCAGCCAGTTTTGTAAGTTTAGGACATTCCTGTGACAGCCAAGACTGTTAGTCATCAAGTATAAATTTATTTCTTATGGATTTAGAAAGAAAAGAAATGCTGTATAGCCATCATTTTCAGTGTTGGCTGGTGCTCTCTGATAAGTTACTGCTATTCAAAATAACACCTGTAATCCTCCATCACTCTCAGTGAATCACAGATATTTGCTCAACATAGAGCACCAGTGATTTCAGAAGTAGCTTAGTCCAAGCCCATAAAAAACTTGAATATCATGTACTTTTAAAAATGTGCCCAGGCTTGTTTTTTTTTTCTCTGTGTAATCTTACTCAATAAGCCAGCAAAATATAATAGATCAAATATTGTATCCTTTTGAACTCCTTATCACTTGAAGAGTTCATATTCAATAAATAATAATAATATGCATATCATTGTAAATATTTCTGTGATTATGTTTCTTTTTTAATGAAGGTCCTCTGGCCCTATAGATGAAAGTATTCCATTGTGAATGTGTACCATATTTTCTTATCCATGCATCAGTTGATGGTAAAAATGAAATTCTGGCATTTGTGACAATATGGATGAAGCCAGAGATCATTATGTTAAGTGAAAAAGACAGGCACAGAAAGACAAGTACTGAATTTTATCAGTCACATGTGGAAACCTAAACAATTGATCTTATAGAAATTGAGAGTAGAATGGTGGGTACTAGAGGCTGGGACAGTTGGAGGAGGGAAGAGACAGGGATAGGTTGATCAAGGGTGCTAAGTTACAGTTGGGAGCAAAAACTTCTGATGCGTCTAGAGTCTGCTATCATCTCTATAGATGATGATAAAGCACTTGTATTTGAAAGAGGTAGAAGAAAGGAGTTCAAATATTTTAACCGTTAAGAAATATTAAATGTTTGAAGAAATAGATGTTTAAAGTGATTTCAACATTACACAATGTACATGTTTTGAAACATTACATGTTAACCCATAAATTGATTTAATTTTTATATAACATGTTAACCCATAAATTGGTTTATTTTTTATGTATCAGTTTAAGATTTAATTTAAACATTTTAAATATAAATTTAAACAAAAAAATATTAGGGAACATTAAAAATGATGAAAGTATCACTACTTATTAAAAGCACTCCGGAGTACATAATGAAATGTGTGAAATATATGGAAAATATACCCAGACTGAGAGAAGGAAGACATGATTTGGAGCTTCATTTCTTCCACCAAATGTCTCTTGAAAATGCTGTCCCTTACCCTCCTCAACAGGCAACCTCTATGTCTTCTTCCAACTGTCTGTTTCCTGTTAGTGGCAATCAGCTTTGTTTTTGAGTTGAATACAAATGATACCCATATCAGTTCTACTTATATATACTATTGGTCAGAACTGCTTTTGGTGTCTATATCCAGCTGCAAGAGAAGCTGGCAAATACATCTGAATATATCTTTGTCTATTGAAAACTTGGGCCTCTGTTATAAGGAATAAGAATAAAATGATACTTGACAATTAGCAGTCTTAGAGGAGTAATGTCTAATAGTCAAGAAATTCTCAGGCAGAATATTAGTTAACTTTTGAATAGATGCTTGAATTGACAATGAGCTTGCAATTTTTGGATAGCTATAATTATCGGCAATTTCTAAAATTTATTTATTTATTTATTTATTTATTTATTGGCCAAGGACCATAAAGGCCTCTGGATCCCTGAGTTTCTTCAACTATTTCTTGCCTACTTTGACTTCCAGGCCCACCTCTCTCTTAACCATAGTGCATTGGTGTTCCTCTGGAGATACTGTCCTAGGATTATACTTGTGAAAAGTTAGAATGTGATTATTACATTTTGTTGGGCAGTGCAATTATTTTCATGTAGATAGAACTTTCTCTTCCTGAAAAATCTTTCTTTGTAAGTAGTGTTATTTACTTAATCTAATTGAAGGATATTACATTTTTATCAGTGTGTAGAACTCTCATTGAGCTTAAATTCTGGTGGGGAAACTAACAATAAATCAATTTATAAATATGTAGTGATACATATCTGTAGCATTGAGTGGTGATTCTCTTTGAATCCTAGGCTCTTTTCAATAGTGTTTCTTTCTGTTGCTAAGAGTTCATATATTATTGTTGTTTACCAAATAGGCTATGTATTTACTACCCTTGCATCAGTGTCTACAATGATTTCTGCTCAAAAAACTGCAATTGCAGAAGGTAAGTTGGATAGCAGGTTGATATTATGCATAGCAAAAAAAAATATTGATTGATAGTTGGAATGGAAACAAAGTGTTTAAAATGAGTAATGATGAAGGAAAAGAAAACCCAAAACTGGTGCTCTTATTTAAAAATTAAGTTCTTGTCCTCAAAACATTGACAATCTGATAGGGGAAATAAGACAACTGCACAAGCAAACAAAATATAGTGCTTTAGGTATGGTCATTATTTTTATTATTAATGATAATACCCATTCTTTATTCCCTTTTAAGTAGAGCATAACTGGCCATAAACCTTTGGGAAGAAGTTTGTGACATCTGATTTTAGGCAAATAACAGTTTCATCTTTTTAAAAAACACAACAAAACTATATCTGTTAAACTCCATTTACAAAGGACCGGAAGGGGAGAGAGGAAACCAGGAGGGAAGTATATGTG